ATTCAAAATAGTATATGAAGAAAATGACCTCCTTTCATGGGTGGTGATGGTTAAGGTCTGGAGCCAGTGAGGGCCTATGTGTGATAAGACTTCCTTATTGTGAAACATTTTAAAGGGATGTCAAAAAGTTCTTAACCTCTGTGACCTCAGTCATGAGAGATTAAAAACAACAACAGCAACAAAAAAATAAAAGTAGGCGCAAAAATCCATCCATCCATTGTCTATACACCGCTCAATCCTGAATCACCAATTAACCTCAACATGTTTTTGGACTGTGTGGGAGGAAGCCGGAGAACCCGGAGTGAACCCACGCTGCACGGGGAGAACATGCAGACTCCACGCAGAAAGATCCCGGTGCCCCCAGCAGCGACCTTCTTGCTGCGAGGCAACAGTGCTAACCAACTGCGCCACCTTGCTGCCCCGGCGCTAACATGACCGGCTAAAATGGAATGTGACCACCTGGCTCTGGGTTCATAACAACACTGCAGCAAGCTGTAAACCAGCTACGTGCATGCTTGTGCATTGGGACCTATTTCCTCACATATTTCTGGAACATAAAACATCAGTAATAACTTTCTATAATTGCACATTGTTGACATAAAAACAAGCCTTACCATGACTTGCACCCCAAATCACTCAGTTACGGTTTCGAGCAAACTTCCACTCCCTCAAAGTGGTCATGCCCCTTAACTGTGCATGACATTAAGCCCTTATGGGAATATATTCTGTGACAAAATTGTTTATTTTTTGCTTCAAGGAGCAGTAGCTGATACCCATGTTTCACATCCACATGTCCTATTTCTTATCATGCAAGCAAAACTAAATTCATTCAGGATATTGCTGGGAGGAATTTCCAGTGTTGACAAACCAGATCATTGATGCTGGACAATCGCTTCGATATGTTTCTGTAACTGCAAACAGTTCATACTGCAGGGCAGGAAGAGATGCTATTTGTGGGAATTTGATAAACAAGTTACACAGCAACAACAGCTGCATGGCAAAATGAAGTCAGTGTTTGTATTGTAGAGTTGAGTGCCATGTCAGCACCTGACACTGGGCCCAGTCACAAAGGTTCAGCTGCAAACACCTCTGGTGCCTCTCTCCTGAAACACATGACTTAAAATCAGGTCTGTTGTAAGTGATGGAAGTTACGCAGATGGTCAGAGAGCGTGTACTTAAACCACAACTGCTTCAAAAGCTGAATAATCTTCTACAAAATATTATTGAACTCCTGGGAAAGAGGGGCTGATGCATTTCTGGAAAGACAAACGTATCAGTTCCCATCACCTCGCAGCAAGAAGGTCTCCGGTTCACATCCCAGTGAGGACACCTGGGATCTTTCTGTGTGGAGTTTGCATGTTCTCCCCGTGCAGCGTGGGTTNGATGGATGGATGTCTACTTATATAATATTGTCTGTGCTGAGTGAACGCGTAAAACAGGCATGATTTATTCTTCTGTTGTCTTTGCGTCTTTTGTTTGGGACAGTAACCCCTTTAAATGTCTCCATTTCAACATCAGCGATAAATTAAAACATCTGAAATAGTCGCTGTTGTGCAAGACGGTGGGGATTTTCACCATCAGACACGTCAAGTTCCTGAGATCTGGTTTACCACAAGCTTTAAATTAAGATAAGATAAAACGTAGAGGAAATGCTCAGAAAATTCTCAGAAAACCCAAACACCTTGGATGCACACTACACAGTGAGGTACAAGCGCCGACTAACATCTGTCTCTGTGGGTGGTCTTCCTCCTCAGTGACAAACCAATAAAAACATTAAGAGAAGCCAAACAAAGAGGAGGTGGACTTGCTTTAGGTGTATTTTTTACTTAGGATGAGCAAATGACAAAATNAGACTATCAAATCGGAAAAACAGCTCGCCGGACTTTAAGTGTAAAAATAATAGTTTTTATTTTATTGTGGGTTATCTGCCAAATAATTAATCAAGACAAGAAATCGTCTATCTAAATAGTAATTTAGCAATTTTATTGAATACAAAACCAAAGTTCAGCCATGGACCAAGATAGAAGGGATTAGTTGTGGGTGTTCTTAAGGGTAGAACCACGATCTAAGGTATATACATACAGTATGTATGATTCTTATACAGACTATGGGTTGAACACTGGAGAAACATCATCGCCACCTGCAGGAGGGACAGTGCATCTACTGTGGGCATCTAGGACTTGTTTTTTGGCAGGTTGTCCAGTGAAAGTTCAGGCTCATCAGAGAAGTGAAGGTTACTGGTGAACTGACACCCTCGTTTTTTCCTCTTCTTCCCCTCAAGAGGCGCCTCTGCTCCCTGCCTGCCCTGGAGATGGAGGCGATGAACTATCCAAAGCTCCCCGGCTGGAGGCATCTCTCACTGGTTTAGGGGTCTTCTTCGGTGGAGACAGCCCTCCTGTTATCGGAACAACAAGGTGAGATCGATGTTCCAGGTGAACGAGCACTAAACCATGACTTACCCCTGTGGCTATAGCCAAGGTCAAGTAGGTCAGAACCAACCCTCAGGTCATCCCCTGGTGGATCAGTGGAGAACCAATGTACACAGTCAAGCTTTGTTCTCCTCATGTTCATTGCATTCTACCATTCCTAACTGATGTTTTCGTCTTGGTTTGCTAATCTGTCTCATTTCTTGGAATTGTTGTGCTGATTTGAACAGATCTAAATGAATAAAGACTCTGAGTAAATCAACACACTTCTAGTGCCAGAAACGATAAGAAATTCTCCATGAAATTACCGTCCCGACTGTGATTTCACCCAAACAGAGCTGTCCTCTTTTACATGTTTTTCTGGTTCCTCAATATAGACAGTTTTCCCTAGTTTCACAGGATCATACTCCCCTTTGTTCCTGCATAGTGGAGGTGTACTGTGGTGTACTACAGCCTAAGGTCTGGTCACAACACACCATCAGTAGTAAAGTGTGTTAGATTGCTACACACATACTCATAGAACTGGATTCTGTAAGTCATGTTTTTTTGGCAGGACCATTTCTCTTGTTGTTTTCCAACAGATGCATTCTAACAGTGCAACAACCCTCATTCAGTCACATGCAATCAAGTAGCTATGAACCAGAAGATATTTACACTAATTTTGTAGTGACTCAAAAAAAAAGTAGATTGTTATCACTGAAAATTGAATAGACAATATCACAATGTTTCATATGTAAATTATTTCGGTTTAGTTGTGGATTTAGTTAAAGCTCTTGTCTGGACTCTTGAAGTTTGTAAGGATGAGACCTACTTTGAAGAACTCTGGAAACAAACTGCTGAAGACTGACCCAGAACCTGCAGCCAGAACAAAGAAGCTAAAGTGTGGATGGACATAGCGTGATGTCTTAACTAGGTGGGTGTCATGAGCAGAACTAGGACACTTTTGACACAGGAGTATTTATTCACATTGTAATTATATGAACTTTGTCAACAATGAAAAAGTCTGTGTTTAAATAATTGAGTGTTACGGGCAAGCTCAAGACTGCAACAAGAAGGGGGACGACAATAAATGGGTGGAAAAAAAGTATATTTATACATTTACTAGTGATGCATGATCTTAAAATTTCTGGTTGATACCGATATCCAATATTAAGATTTCTGATATCGCCAATAACCGATATTACCGATGTCCATATTCGATGTTTGCTCATACGGAAAAATGAGTATAAGTAAGTAAAACTATTCAAAAGAAGCCACACAGTCTTCTTTATTATGTAACAAAAGCAAAACATTTTTAAACATATTTTTTTCACATCGGCTAAATTTCTTCATCGGACCGATACCGATATGTGGGAAAAAAAACACTGATATCGGCCGATGCCGATGTGGTCGCCGATATATCGTGCATCTGTAACATTTACAAAAAAAAGAAAGCAAAACCGGTATCAGAGAATAAAACGTGGATGTGTTAGTGTGTCTGTAGTGTGTGTGGATGTGTGTGTCTATGTCTATGTCGTGCACCTCTACATGGCAGTTTTTCCTACATCAGCAAACAATTAGAGTAAGTGGCCAAAAAAATGAGTTGGGGAAAAACAAAATAACGAGACATTGTGCCACCATTGTGGGTAATGGATGGTCTTCGTCTTGTCTGGCTCCACCCCTGACTGCAGGGGATGTAGGCAATCAAGTTTTCTTTCACAAACTGCTCTACAAACATATGGCCTTTGTTTGACCCATATGACACCTGACGTAGAACAATGTTCATTCATGTTGAGAGCTGATAAAGACCTTTAAAGTACGTTTTACAGTCATATACAGTAAAGAATGTGCAGTATGTGCTTTCAGTGTCAAAGATCTTTTTTATTAATGAAAGAAATATGAAGAGAATTTGCTGAGCTTGAGCTTTAAAGTTCCCAAACTCGTCCGGATCGCAGCAGTTACACTAGTCAAGAGGTTCATATTGAATATAGAAATAATGAATTATCTCAAATCTACTAACAGCAGCATCCTAAGACAGCCCTGACTCCACGTCTGGTTGAGTAATTACCACCTACTGTATGTATTGAATTTAGATTCTGCAGTCCACATGACCTGCAGCCTTTGTTGCGCACTGAGCGATATACATCAGTGAATCACACTGTGCAAAGAATAAATACAGGCATTTGTTTTATCACTGCTCCAAATAAACTCAAAGAGAAAAATCCCTGTTTGCAAAAACACATTCACAAACGCTGTCATTATGTCAGAAATAGAAGTTTGCAATAGCCAACCTTTTTTTTTAAACAAGAGCTGATATAGAAAAAAAATTCCCCAATTCATCCAGTTCAAATTGATTCATCTTGTTGTTTAGCCTGACGAATGAAACTGGAACAAAGACCTGCTATAAAAAATACAGATCTGACACTCATTAGCAAGCGATTATCTCCGTGAATAAGTTACCACTTAAATTATCTCTTTATCACAGTGGTCTTCTGTTTACTGGAGGCTTACAAAAGCATGACATCAGTGTGTGGTTGTATTCTTAGTGTTTGTGAGGGGCCTCACAGTCAGGAGGACAGTATAAAGCTGAGAGCTGGTCTTTGAGAAAACAGCACCACGGGAAGATTTCAGCTGCAGGAGGCTTAGCTGAAGCCATGGATCCCCGCACACATCAAAAGAAAAAGGCTTCAGGTAAACATTTCATTGCACTAGCTTTGCACATTTTAATGTTGGTGATTTAGCTTAACAAATAATAATGTCTCTTTCAGAATCAGAATCAGAAATAAATTTTTGCCAGGTATAGTTCTCACAGGACGAGGAATTTGTTCTGGTGGGTTGGTGCAACAAAACAACAATAAATATACAGTAAAATAAAGTAACTAAAAATAAAAATAACTGGAATGGTTTAAACAGGAATGATAGTGTTATTTACAGAAATATTGAGGGTGCTGATATATTGTTATTTACAATTATATTGTTGTTATTTAGACCAGGGATCTCCAACTCTGGTCCTCGTGAGCTACTGTCCTGCAGGTTTTAGACACTTCGGTACTGAAACACACCTGACTCACATTAATGGATCATTAACAGACTTGTGTAGATCCATCAATGTGAGTCAGGTGTGTTGTAGTACGGAAACGTCTAAAACCTGCAGGACAGTAGCTCATGAGGACGGAGTTGGAGATCCCTGCTTTAGAGAAAATGTAGACAAATAAAGATGCTAACTGAAACCAAAAGCGGTTCTTCACAGTGATGGCATTGAAGACCCATTTTTTTGTTGTCTCAAATGAGCACCAAAAAAATGGTTCACTTTGGCACCATAAATCCAAGAGTGCTCCAAGAACTTTGAATTTAAAAATGGGTTCAGTAAGGAACCATGTTATTGTGGGCCCATCTGGTTCTATTTTGATAACAGGATTTGAAAATCATTTGCTATTTTAAGGTTCTTTCTGTTATAATACATTTAATTTTTTGATCTAAAGATTGTTGGTCAAAAAGAATAATATATTCCATGGTGCGAGCTAAGGATTTGGTAAACTGTGAGGAGTTGCTAATGATTAATGGATGATAAAAAAAAAAAAAAAAACAGAAATAAAAATGAAAGCTGCAGCTCTCATCTAATGCTTTTTAAGCCACCTAAATCTTCAATACTTTAAAGAACCACATAAAGTACATGATGAACCATCCATTAAACAAAAAGGAGGTTCTTTAAAAAGTGATGGTGCTTTGAAGACGCAGAGAGCATCCTGAAGAACCATCCAAGAACCCTTATTTGAGAGTAGTTTGGATCTACAAAGCTTGCTTGCTTTTTTTTCATAGCACCCAGAAAGAAGGTCAGGCACTTCACAGATGTGCACGGCCTGCCTTGCATTGAGAAGTTTGTGTGCTCCGTGGAGGACACCCCTGAGCCCATCGGCACCAGCATCACTGGCACGATCCCAGAATGGATCAACGGGAACCTCCTGAGAAACGGGCCGGGGAAGTTCGAGATCGGAAACCAGAAGTAAGACCTCTCAGAGCATTTATGCATCAACAGCAGACATTATGTGTTGAAACCAACCCCTCTTGGCTCCATCCTCGTAAGGTTCAACCACTGGTTTGACGGTATGGCTCTCCTGCACCAGTTCAAAATATCCAATGGGCAAGTGACCTACAAAAGCCGCTTCCTGTCCAGTGAAAGCTACCAATCCAACAAGGAGTACAACCGCATTACCATGTCTGAGTTTGGGACTGTCACCGTGCCAGACCCCTGTAAAAACTTCTTCCAGCGCTTTCTGTCGAGATTCGAATTACCAAGTGAGTATTATGTCACACCACATGAACACAAACTCCAGATGCAGTCATACGTGGTTTGAATGTGCAACAGTTGTGACCACCATGTTTAGAGTTCACTTCCACATATGAGCGACAACTTCTCCTTTCCTTTAGAGGGCACCGACAATGCCAATGTGAGTTTTGTGACCTACAAAGGTGATTATTACGTCAGCACGGAAACAAATTGTATGCACAAGGTGGACCCTGAGACCCTGGAGTCGATCAAAAAGGTAACACAAGAGTGATACAAGTGAAATATAACCTGAATGTATTGTGAGCTTAAGGCTACTGTCACACTTTACTGTATTATAAACAGCTGATTAACAATATAAAATAGATAAAGTGTCAAGAAGCCAAGATGCGATGTTCACTCATGTATTTGTTTGTGTTAGGTGGACTGGAGCCAATTCATTGCTGTGAATGGAGCGACTGCTCACCCTCACACTGATCCTGATGGAACAACCTACAACATGGGGAATTCCTACACCCCTAAAGGTATGTTAGAAACATCAAATCACAGTAAGAGACAATTGCGCAGAACAGCAACGCTGCTCCCCATGTGTGCGATGACCTTGACGAGGGATTTAAATTGTGCCGGCAGGAGCATTCTACAACATCATCCGAGTGCCCGCGACCAAGAAAACAGAAGAAGAGACCTTGGAGGGAGCCACGGTGCTGTGCTCGATCCCCTCAGTGGACAAAGCCAAGCCCTCTTACTACCACAGCTTTGGTGAGCTTTCACTCTTGTGCCTTAACTACAGATCCATT